ACCCCCGGCCCAGGTCTCCCACAAGTCCGGGTTTCCCATCCCGGCTCCAGTGTTGCCAATCGGGGTTCCATCCCCGGCCCAGTGTCTGCCACAAGTCCTGGGTTCCTCCCGGCCCCCAGTGTTCCCAAAGTCTGGGTTCATCCGGGTTTCCGGGTGTTGCACAAGTCCTGGGTTTTCCACCCCCGGCCCCAGTTTCTCCCACAAGCCCTGGGTTTCCCATCCCGGTTTCAGGTTGCCACAAGCCCTGGGTTCCTTTCCCCGGTCGTGTTGCCACAAGCCCCTGGGTTCCATCCCGGCTCGTGTCTGCCAAAATCCTGGGTTCCACCCCCGGCCCCAGTGTCTGCCACAAGCCCGGGGTTTCCCACCCCCGGCCCCAGTGTCTCCCACAAGTCCTGGGTTTCCATCCCGGCTCCAGTGTCTGCCCAAGCCCTGGGTTCCCCCCCGGTTCCCAGTGTCTCCCACAAGTCCTGGGCCCCCCCGGCCCATTGTTCCCAAAAAAGCCCCGGGTTAACCCCCGGTCCAGTGTCTGCCCAAGTCGGGTTTCCCATCCCCGGCCCCGGCTGCCACAAGTCCTGGGTTCCATCCGGCTCCAGTGTCTCCCAAAAGCCCCGGGTTTCCCATCCCCGGCTCCAGTGTTGCCCAAGCCCCTGGGTTCCACCCCCGGCCCCAGTGTCTACAAGTCCGGGGTTCCATCCCGGCTCCTTTTTCTGCCAAAACCCCGGGGTTTCCATCCCCGGCCCCAGTGTCTGCCCAAGCCCTGGGTTCCATCCCCCCGGCTCCAGTGCTCCCACAAGCCTGGGTTCATCCCTGGCTCCAGTGTTCCCCAAAAGTCCTGGGCCCCTTCCCTGGCTCCGTGTCTCCCACAATCCTGGGTTCCACCCCCGGCTCCAGTGTCTCCCAAAGTCCGGGGTTCCACCCCCGGCCCAGTGTCTCCCACAAGCCCCGGGTTTTATCCTGGTCCAGTGTCTGCCACAAGTCGGGGTTTCCCACCCTGGCCCCAGTGTCCCCCAAAAGTCCTGGGTTCACCCCTGGCCCAGTGTTCCCAAAAGCCCGGGGTTTCCCCCCGGCTCCAGTGTCGCCAAAAGTCCTGGGTTCCCTCCCGGCCCCAGTGTCTGCCAAAGTCCTGGGTTTCCCCATCCCTGGTCAGTGTTCCCAAAGTCCTGGGTTCCACCCCCGGTCCAGTGTCTCCCACAAGTCCTGGGTTCCCCGGCTCAGTGTTGCCAAAGTCCTGGGTTCCATCCCGGCCAGTGTTGCCACAAGTCCGGGTTCCCATCCCTGGCTCCGGTCTGCCACAAAGCCGGGGTTTCCCATCCCCGGCCCCAGTGCGCCCAAGCCCTGGGTTCCACCCCCCGGCTCCGTGTCTGCCACGCCCTGGGTTCCCACCGGTCCAGGTTGCCAAAAGGTCCGGGTTCATCCCTGGCTCCTTGTTCCCACAAGTCCTGGGTTCCATCCGGCCCCCAGTGTTGCACAAGTCCTGGGTTCCCACCCCCGGCTCCAGTGTCTGCCAAAGTCTGGGTTCATCCCTGGCCCCAGTGTCTGCCAAAAGTCCTGGGTTCCACCCCTGGCTCCAGTGTTCCCAAAAGGCCGGGGTTTCCCTCCCCTGGCTCCAGTGTCTGCCAAAGTCCTGGGTTCCTCCCCGGCCCCCCAGTGTTGCCACAAGTCTGGGTTCCCCCCGGCCCAGTGTCGCCACAACCCTGGGTTCCACCCCTGGCCCCAGTGTCTCCCAAAAATCCGGGGGTTCCCCATCCCGGCTCCGTGTCTCCCCAAAGTCCTGGGTTCCCCCCCGGCTCCAGTGTCTGCCAAAAGTCGGGGTTTCCCCCCCCGGCCCAGGTCTCCCACAAGCCGGGTTCCATCCGGCTCCAGGTTGCCACAAGCCTGGGTTCCACCCCCCGGCCCCAGGTCTGCCACAAGCCCTGGGTTCCATCCCGTCCAGTGTCTCCCACAAGCCCGGGTTTCCATTTTTGGGTTTCCACCCGGTCAGGTCTGCCCAAGCCCCTGGGTTCCATCCCTGGCCCAGTGTCTGCCACAAGTCCTGGGTTCCATCCGGCTCGTTCTCCCACAAGTCCTGGGTTCCATCCCGGCTCCAGTGTCTCCCAAAAAGCCCGGGGTTCCCATCCCGGCTAGTGTCTGCCACAAGCCCTGGGTTCCATCCCGGTTCCAGTGCCACAAGCCCGGGTTCATCCCTGGTCCAGTGTCTGCCACAAGTCCTGGGTTCCATCCCCGGCTCCAGTGTCTGCCACAAGTCCTGGGTTCCATCCCCGGCTCCAGTGTCTGCCACAAGTCCTGGGTTCCATCCCTGGCTCCAGTGTCTGCCACAAGCCCGGGTTCCATCCCGGCTCGTGTCGCCAAAGTTCCGGGGTTCCCACCCCGCTCCAGTGTCTGCCACAAGTCCTGGGTTCCACCCCCCCGGCTCCAGGTCTCCCAACAAGCCCGGGTTTCCATCCCGGCTCCAGTGTCTGCCACAAGTCCTGGGTTCCATCCCCGGCTCCAGTGTCTGCCACAAGTCCTGGGTTCCATCCCCGGCTCCAGTGTCTGCCACAAGTCCTGGGTTCCATCCCCGGCTCCAGTGTCGCCAAAACCCGGGGTTCCATCCCGGCTCCAGGTCTGCCACAAGCCCGGGGTTTCCCCCCGGCTCCGTGTTTCCCACAAGTCCTGGGTTCCATCCCGGTCAGTGTCTGCCACAAGTCCTGGGTTCCCCCCCGGCCCAGTGTCTGCCAAGCCGGGTTCCCCCCCGGCTCGTGTCTGCCCCAAGTCCGGGGTTCCACCCCCGGCTCCGTGTCTGCCAAAAGTCCTGGGTTCCATCCGGCTCGTTCTCCCACAAGTCCTGGGTTCCCCCCCGGCTCCAGTGTCTCCCCACAAGTCCTGGGTTCCCCCCCCGGCCCCAGTGCTCCACAAGTCCTGGGTTCCATCCCCGGCCCCGTGTCTGCCACATCCGGGGGTTCCCCACCCCCGGCCCCAGTGTCTCCCCACAAGTCTGGGTTCCACCCCTGGCTCCAGTGTCTCCCCAAAAAGTTGGGTTCCACCCGGCTCCGTGTCTGCCCAAGTCCTGGGTTCCCCCCCGGCCCAGTGTTGCCACAAGCCCGGGTTCCCATCCCGGCCCCAGTGTCTGCCAAAATCTGGGTTTCCCCATCCCGGCTCCAGTGTTGCCAAAAGCCCTGGGTTCCATCCTGGTCCAGTGTTGCCAAATTTGGGGTTCCCCCCCGGCCCCAGTGTCTCCCACAAGTCCGGGGTTTCCCCACCCCGGCCCCCAGTGTCTCCCACAAGCCTGGGTTCCCCCCCGGCTCAGTGTCTCCACAAGTCCGGGTTCCATCCCGGCCCCGTGTCTCCCCACAACCCGGGTTCCTCCTGGCTCCAGTGTCTGCCACAAGTCCTGGGTTCCACCCCCCGGCTCCCTGTTGCCACAAGTCCGGGGTTTCCCACCCCGGGCCCCGTGTCTGCCACAGTCCTGGGTTCCACCCGGTCCATGTTCCCAAAGCTGGGTTCCACCCCCCGGCCCCAGTTGTCTGCCACAAGTCCGGGGTTCCCCCCCCGGCCCCAGTGTCTCCCCAAAAGCCCGGGTTCATCCCGGTCCAGTGTCTGCCACAAGTCCTGGGTTACCCCCGGCTCCGTGTCTGCCAAAGTCCGGGTTCCCACCCCCGGCCCCAGTGTCTGCAAAAGTCCTGGGTTCCATCCCCGGTCCGTGTCTGCCCCCAATCCTGGGTTTCCCATCCTGGCTCCAGTGTCTCCCAAAGTCGGGGTTCCATCCCCGGCTCCAGTGCCCCTGCCCAAGTCCGGGGTTTTCCACCCCCCGGGCCCCAGTGTTGCCACAGCCCTGGGTTCCCCCGGTCCAGTGTCCCCCACAAGCCCGGGGTTTCCACCCCCGGCTCCAGTGTCTCCCAAAAGCCCCCTGGGTTCCACCCCCGGCCCAGTGTCTGCCAAAGTTGGGTTCCACCCCCGGCTCCAGGTCTGCAAAGTCCTGGGTTCCATCCCCGGCTCCAGTGTCTGCCACAAGTCCTGGGTTCCATCCCTGGCTCCAGTGTCTGCCACAAGTCCTGGGTTCCATCCCCGGCTCCAGTGTCTGCCACAAGTCCTGGGTTCCATCCCCGGCTCCAGTGTCTGCCACAAGTCCTGGGTTCCATCCCTGGCTCGCTGCAGTGTTATATCTATGGTGATTTCATTTACTGTTGTGGGCAGTAGTGGGTAGTAATCTAGTCAGAGTTACAGACTGTTCATCAACAGACAGTGTCATTGTATGGGGTCAGAATCGTCGCTGGATTCATCACACTCAATTCCTCTAACTTCATTCATAAATTTTCAAGATTGAATTAAGTTACTCAGGTTAGGTTAAGTTTGGTTAGGTTAGATCAACGTTTCTCAACCGGGGTTCTCCGGAACCCTTGGGTTTTCCGGAACTTTAGGGTTCCACGAGAGGTCGCTTGGGGTTCCCAGAAAAATAGTGATAAATAGGTTAATTATATGTCAGTGCATTTCTAAGTGATTTTTTTTGTAATTAATTTTATATTCATAATTTTACTATTCAAGTCTGGCATAATCTTGGAAAATTCTTGGGTATTATTACAAAGTTATATCATTTAAAAGTATAATATTCAATAGGAATATATTTAGCTACGTCTTTAATAAAATAACAATAAATAATAATAATAATAATAATAATAATAATAATAATAATAATAATAATAAAATATTACTACTACTACTACTACTATTACTACTACTACTACTACTATTACTACTACTACTACTAATTACTACTACTACTACTACTACTAATACTACTTACTACTACTACTAATTTCTACTACTACTACTACTAACTACTACATGTACTACTACTACTACTACTGCTACTACTACATGTACTATACTACTACTAACTACTACTTTCTACTACTCCCACTACTACTACTACTACTTCTACTACTACTACAATAATAATAATAATAATAATTAATAATAATAATAATAATAATAATAATAATAATAATAATGCTCTCCTGACTGTCTTTCAGAGATGTTTCACTTCATCAACAATGTGTGTAAGTTGGGAGAGGTGACACGCTTATGGATTGGTCCTCATCCCAATATTCTTATCAGCGGACCACGAGCCACTGAGGTGAGACAAGAGACTCGTATGTTAGTGTAAGACAAGATGAACTTAATGTATATGAAAAAAAAAGAAAAACACTTTGGCTCTCTAGGGATCAGATCAAGTTTCTTCAACGATTTTTTTTTTTAAGTTTCCGTCTTGATAACTTGGGAATGCTTCTTCTGATCAGCTTGAAATTTTCAGCCCTGATGTATCTTAATTAGTGGAAGACTCAAATATAAATGCTACTTTGTCAATTTTATACTTGAGAATAATGCAGTTGGTTTTGTGTCATGGCTCGAGAACGCTTTTTGAGATCGGCTTCAAATTTTTATCGGTAAAGGATCCTGTTCATTGAAAGCTTTGGATTGTTTATGAACTTCATCGGAATAAATTTACTATTTTTTCAAAATTGTTATATAAATTTTCGATGTAATAACTTGAGAATGTTTAAACATTCTCAAATTATTACATTCTCAGGCTAGGCTGTGTACATGCAAATCTGACCATTCAATAATTAAAAAAAAAGTTAACATTTTAGCTTCCTTGATATAACTTAAGAATACCTCTTCTGATTGGCTTCAAACTTTTGGTGCTCGTGTATTTTGCTTAAAGGAAGATGCGCATTGTTATCTGACATTGTAAGTCTTAATCTCCATTTTTGTTAAGCAAACTGGGATACTGGTTGTCTTATAATAACCTAAGAATGCCTCTTTTGCTCTGCTTCAAACTTTAAGTACCATCGAATTCTGTTTAGAGTATAAGTCAGAATGACTTTAGGTTGTACTGACGCCTATTTATCTCTTTTATCAATTACAATGGGATAGTGATTTCCATGCGGAGTCTTAATGGACTACTGGAGCATTATTTTACCCTATTATGACCACTTTTTTAATACCATGATGATAGAGTGTTGTGTTGCAGTGTTATTCTTCAGCATTAAATATGTAATGTTACCTAGGTAAGACAACTGAAAAAATAAAAGCTTATTTTTCTGTAGACTGCTAAGTGTTACATATTTAATCAAGCTGACTGCATGTGTTGAGGTAAAGCTCCTGGGTTTCTAGAAGGTGTTGATCATCAGCTTGTTGACCTCTTCAAGAGTCTGGTGAAGCTATAGTTCCTGGTCTCTTCACAGACTTAAGTTTTCGATCTTTTCAAGGGTTGGATACGGTTACTATGCATCTTGCCTACATTGAGGCCCTGGGGGCTGATGTTATGAGATATGGGGCTACCTCTCTCGGATCATTGAGGTATAGGGGGCTGGGGTTATAGGATATGGGGTTATTCCTCTCGGATCATTGAAGTATAAGGGGCTGGGGGTTATAGGATATGGGGTTACCCCTCTCGGACCATTGAGGTACAGGTGGCTGGGGTTATAGAATGTGGGGCTAAGTCTCTCAGATCACACAGCCACAGGAACACATCTAGTTTATTGTTTTCTTATAATGAGCGGTGGACTGGTATGCCAGCGAGGCCTCGGTCAAATGACTGAAGGCTCCACTTAGAGAGTCATCTTATGGCAATACCAACGCTTGAGAAACATGCACATTTTTTTCTGTCAAAATATCCGCTACCTCCACCACAATTTAGCTGCATAAATATCATCATGACAGAAATGTTAAAAGCAGGGGAAGACACATAGTGTTGGAGTGGTTGGTATTTTTGTTTAATAAATGTATGAAAGAGGGGAAGGTACCTAGGGATTGGCAGAGAGCATGTATAGTCCCTTTATATAAAGGGAAGGGGGACAAAAGAGATTGTAAAAATTACAGAGGAATAAGTTTACTGAGTATACCAGGAAAAGTGTACGGTAGGGTTATAATTGAAAGAATTAGAGGTAAGACAGAATGTAGGATTGCGGATGAGCAAGGAGGTTTTAGAGTGGGTAGGGGATGTGTAGATCAAGTGTTTACATTGAAGCATATATGTGAGCAGTATTTAGATAAAGGTAGGGAAGTTTTTATTGCATTTATGGATTTAGAAAAGGCATATGATAGAGTGGATAGGGGAGCAATGTGGCAGATGTTGCAGGTATATGGAATAGGTGGTAAGTTACTAAATGCTGTAAAGAGTTTTTATGAGGATAGTGAGGCTCAGGTTAGGGTGTGTAGAAGAGAGGGAGACTACTTCCCGGTAAAAGTAGGTCTTAGACAGGGATGTGTAATGTCACCATGGTGGTTTAATATATTTATAGATGGGGTTGTAAAAGAAGTAAATGCTAGGGTGTTCGGGAGAGGGGTGGGATTAAATTATGGGGAATCAAATACAAATTGAGAATCGACACAGCTGCTTTTTGCTGATGATACTGTGCTTATGGGAGATTCTAAAGAAAAATTGCAAAGGTTCGTGGATGAGTTTGGGAGTGTGTGTAAAGGTAGAAAGTTGAAAGTGAACATAGAAAAGAGTAAGGTGATGAGGGAATCAAATGATTTAGATAAAGAAAAATTGGATATTAAATTGGGGAGGAGGAGTATTGAAGAAGTGAATGTTTTCAGATACATGGGAGTTGACATTTTGGCGGATGGATTTATGAAGGATGAGGTTAATCATAGAATTGATGAGGAAAAAAAGGTGACTGGTGCATTGAGGTATATGTGGAGACAAAAAACGTTATCTATGGAGGCAAAGAAGGGAATGTATGAAAGTATAGTAGTACCAACACTCTTATATGGGTGGTAAATGCAGCAGCGAGGAGACGGTTGGAGGCAGTGGAGATGTCCTGTCTAAGGGCAATGTGTGGTGTAAATATTATGCAGAAAATTCGGAGTGTGGAAATTAGGAGAAGGCGTGGAGTTAATAAAAGTATTAGTCAGAGGGCTGAAGAGGGGTTGTTGAGGTGGTTTGGTCATTTAGAGAGAATGGATCTAAGTAGAATGACATGGAGAGTATATAAATCTGTAGGGGAAGGAAGATGGGGTAGGGGTCGTCCTCGAAAAGGTTGGAAGGAAGGGGTGAGGGAGGTTTTGTGGGCTAGGGGCTTGAACTTCCAACAGGCGTGCATGAGCGTGTTTGATAGGAGTGAACGGAGACGAATGGTATTTGGGACCTGACGATCTGTTGGAGTGTGAGCAGGGTAATATTTAGTGAAGGGATTCAGTGAAACCGGTTATTTTTATATAGCCGGACTTGAGTCCTGGAAATCTGAAGTACAGTGTCTGCACTCTACAGGAGGGGGTTCGGGATATTAGCAGTTTGGAGGGATATGTTGTGTATCTTTATACGTATATGCTTCTAAACTGTTGTGTTCTGAGCACCTCTGCAAAAACAGTGATTATGTGTGAGTGAGGTGAAAGTGTTGAATGATGAAAGTATTTTCTTTTTGGGGATTTTCTTTCTTTTTGGGTCACCCTGCCTCGGTGGGAGACGGCCGACTTGTTAAAAAAAAAATATCATCAATGCAACGCAGTTCTTGTCTTGTGAGTAATGTTCTTAGAGATGATGTTTTCTCCTGAAGGTTCTTGACTGTCTCAGTCTGAACAGTTCTAGAAATACTAAGAACCTTAAATCACGTCATCCTGCAATCTCTTCTAGGTCTCCAACATCGATTTATCTCAGTTCGTTCTGAAAATTGTTTCTTCTCTAGAGATTTTAGCTTTCATCAGTTGATGCAGAAAACTGCTCAATCTTTGAAAGTATTTACTTCAACTTAATTGATCCTTACAGTCGTTCCCTCTATAAATGTTGATTTTTTCCTAACCGATCCTAGCAGCTACTGAATGTGAAGTGTCTCTGGTCGTTCAGGTGATGCTGAGCAGTTCCAGGCACCTGGACAAGAGCCTTGATTACCGCTTCCTGCATCCATGGCTCGGCACCGGCCTACTTACCTCCTCAGGTACTCTACCCACAAATTATTATTATTATTATTATTATTATTATTATTATTATTATTATTATTATATGTCTCGTATCTATAAACCTATAGCCAACAAGCATTTTTCAAGGTGATATTTGCATTCAGGGCATGAAAATACATAAGAATCAACTAATCTCATTTAAGAAGCATACATCTTTTAAAAAATTGTTGACCAGTGTTATTATTATTATTATTATTATTATTATTATTATTATTATTATTATTATTATTATTATTACCATTATTATTATTATTATCGTGAGCTTACTGCATATACAAATATGTGCAGAATTGAGAGATTCTTAAGATTTTGCCACCGAAGTGGCCAGTTTATTGTGCACCCCGACCCCCCATATTGTGCACCCCGACCCCCCATATTGTGCACCCCCACCCCCCATATCCAACCTGTGGACGGTAGCGCCAAAACATATGGACACACAAAAGGCGAGAGTGAAAAATAAGCTTACCTTCGCTACAACAGTTATCACAACTTATACAAACAAACATATCTGATATGGTGTGGACCAGCCAGAGGCGCCAGAGGGTCTGTTTACGAGGTCACCTCTCTCAGACCACCAGATCGCACCCCCCTGGAACATGACAGTGCTTGTGTTACCTAATTTGCCTCTTCGTACTAGGAAGGTCGACATATGTTAGCAGACGGCTAACTATCCGAGGTGGAAACATAAACACATATGCAGTTTAATGTGATCCTTTATTGACAACGTTTCGCCCACACAGTGGGCTTTTTCAAGTCACAAACAGATCTACCTGGGGTGGAAGGTACGGGAGTATTTATAGTCAGAATGATGAGGTCAGGTGGAGAATGCTGCATCTGAGGATCCACTGGGTGGGGTTATAGAGTCTTGGGTAGCTTGGCAGGGGTATTGGACAAGTTGTGAGTAGACCTTCTGCAGTGTTCTATGTTTTTATGTGGGATAGCGATGAAGAAGTTTCTTGGCAAGTGGTTCAGCTATGTTATAGAAGCCATTGTTCTGGTTGAAATTGTTGGTTATGGAGATAAGCGATGATTCCAGGATTCTTCGGTATTGAGTGTTGTCTTCTGTGGCGATAAGTCTTGAGTTTCTGTAGTTGATTAAATGGTTGTGTGAATTGCGATGCTGTACACAGGCATTCCTTGTATCGTCAGTCCTGCTTGCGTATTGGTGTTCTGAAATACGTGTTTGGAGGTCTCTTGATGTTTCGCCCACGTATAATTTGTTGCAGTCATTACAAGGGATTATGTATACCCCTGCAGAGGATGGAAGCTTGTCCTGTCTACTACTGGTGATGTCCTTGATGGTCGTGGTTGTGGAGGTAGATACTTGGAATGATGTATTGGAAAAGATGTTGGAAACATGTTTGGCAATGGAGTTGGTGGGGAGGACTATGTATCACTTCTCGGCAGTGTCTTCTCTGGGTGTGCTGAAGATGTTTAATGCCCGCCGTCTGCAGTCTCTGATGAAATGACGAGGATAGTGGAGTTTAGAAAATACTTGTTCAATTATAGTGCATTCTTCCTCAAGGAACTCATTGCTGCAGATTCTGAGTGCGTGCAGGAAGAAGACTATAATTACACCACGTTTAGTTTTGGTGTCGTGGTGAGAGTAGAAGTGGAGAAGATCGTTTTGGTTGGTTGGTTTTCGATAGACTTTAAAACGAAGTTCATGGTCAGTTTTGCAGAGAAGAACATCAAGGAAAGGAAGAGTGTTGCTGACTCCTTCTTCAAGAGTGAACTGGACTGAGGGCTCGACCTGGTTGAGCTTGTCTTGGAGAGCTTGAACGTTGAAGCACCTGGGAGTTATGAGGAGAATGTCGTCAAAGTCACTTGTTCTATCTAGTCTGGAATATTGCTGCACTCTAACAGCACCTTTCAAGGCAGGTGAAATTGCCGACCTAGAAAATGTACAGAGAACTTTCACGGCGCGCATAACGGAGATAAAACACCTCAATTACTGGGAGCGCTTGAGGTTTCTAAACCTGTATTCCCTGGAACGCAGGAGGGAGAGATACATGATTATATACACCTGGAAAATCCTAGAGGGACTAGTACCGAACTTGCACACGAAAATCACTCACTACGAAAGCAAAAGACTTGGCAGACGATGCACCATCCCCCCAATGAAAAGCAGGGGTGTCACTAGCACGTTAAGAGACCATACAATAAGTGTCAGGGGCCCCGAGACTGTTCAACTGCCTCCCAGCACACATAAGGGGGATTACCAACAGACCCCTGGCAGTCTTCAAGCTGGCACTGGACAAGCACCTAAAGTCAGTTCCTGATCAGCCGGGCTGTGGCTCGTACGTTGGTTTGCGTGCAGCCAGCAGCAACAGCCTGGTTGATCAGGGGCTGATCCACCAGGAGGCCTGGTCACAGACCGGGCCGCGGGGGCGTTGACCCCCGAAACTCTCTCCAGGTAAACTCCAGGTAAACATAATGGAGCCAGGTGACAGTCGAAGGAATAATGGTGGAGAAACGCTCGGCTTCCAGATGTTCCATGTATAAGTTCGCCAGGACCGCACTGAGTGGCGAGCCCATGTTAAAAGAGGTGATTTTCGAAAGAGAAACACGTAAAGCCGACACATAGTTCAACGAGGTCGATGAAATCGCTGGCCACAGAAGACAACACTCAATACCGAAGAATCCTGGAATCATCGTTTATCTCTATAACCAACAAATTCAACCAGAACAATGGCTTCTATAACATAGCTGAACCACTTGCCAAGAAACTTCTTCATCGCTATCCCACATAAAAACATAGAACACTGCAGAAGGTCTACTCACAACTTGTCCAATACCCCTGCCAAGCTACCCAAGACTCTATAACCCCACCCGGTAGATCATCAGATGCAGCATTCTCCACTTGACCTCAACATTCTGACTATAAATACTCCCGTACCTTCCACCCCAGGTAGATCTGTTTGTGACTTGAAAAAGCCCACTGTGTGGGAGAAACGTTGTCAATAAAGGATCACATTAAACTGCATATGTGTTTATGTTTCCATAGTGTCGGTATTTTATACCATTAATCTTCAACTATCCGAGGTTTTGACTGGCCAGGAGGACATGCAGGAAAAGTGGGTTTGCATGGCGGACACGGTAACATGGGATGGATGCCATCCAGCAGAGACCCGAATTAACTGTAACTGCCAGAAACATCCGCATGTTGCAAGATCAATAATAATAATAATGATAATAATAATAATAATAATAACAATAACAACAGTAACAATAATAACGCCAACAACAATGACAGCATCAAGTATAACGTCAATAAGTGCTATAACAGCATCAACAACAGCAATAACAACAACAATGACACCAATAACAATAACAACTACATCAACAATAGCAACACTAATATTGACAACTAAACCAAGTACCACAATAATAATATTAACAACAACAATAACACCAACAATAGCAACAGTGGTCAGTCGTCACGTGAGGTCACAGACCCTGAGCTGCTTTGGGGATTAGCGTGGACGGTTACAAAGCATGGCTTGCTTCTGCAGTGTTTTAAAAACTGAGGTTGGAGAGTTGAAGGAGGAGGTCTTGCTTCTCCAGGAGGAGATTAGGAGGCTGAAGGTCCACCTCAATGGGTCTGGGAGAGAGTGTGAGGTGGCTGGAGTTGTGGGGAATGAGACTTCTAGCAGTGAGGTGCAGTCTGTCTCTCGCTGTAAGGAGGCTGTAGTTGGGGAGGTAGCAACGGCTACCAGCAGTGAGGTGCAGCCCAGCACCTGCTACAAGTGGCGAGTTGTTCACAGTAATGGGAGGCGCATCAGAATAAGGAAAGTTAAGAGTGAAGATCTGAAGGTAGGAAATCGCTTCTCTGTTCTCCAGGATGAATGTACTTCAGTGGCCAGTGAAGGTAAGGGTACTACTGCCCCTGCTAATGAAGGTAAGCGCATTCTTGTGGTTGGTGACTCTCAGGTAAGATATATTGACCGTGCTTTTTGTAATAGGAATAAGATGAGAGATAATAGAGTGTGCTTCCCTGGAGCTGGTGTTGGGGACATTGTCAACAGGCTGGATAATATCATGTCAGGTAATGGGAACAAGCCCATTATCTGTCTCAGTGCTGGTGGAAATGATATTGGGAAGGGTAGGAGAGAAGAGCTGCTAGATAAGTACAGGTCAGCTATAGATTTCATTAAGTCTAAGGGAGGGATCCCAATCATATGTAGCATCTTGCCTAGAAGGGGAGTAGGAAATGAATGGTTGTCTAGGGCAATTGGTGTAAATTGCTGGCTAGACAGATACTGCAAGGAACTTGCAATCCCATTCATTGACAACTGGAACAACTTTTATGGCAAACATGATATGTTATGCAAGGGATGGGGTACATCTCTCTGGGTCAGGGGTGGTAGCACTTGCAGACTCGATTGAGAAGGCCATTGGTGAAATGCCTATGATTTTAAACTGATGGAAGATAGAGGTATGGGTGTGTGTGGGAAACAAGCAGGTTGCAACACTAGGGTTGGAAACAGTAAATGTATAAAAGGCATTCAGCATGAAGTTATAAATAAAGACAATAGAACAGGTCAGCAAACAAAGGGGGACAGCAGAGGGCAGCAAGGGACTAGCTCCCTAAGGTTTACTATACTAATAGCAGGAGTGTTAGAAATAAGATAGATGAGCTAAGATTAATTGCAAGTGCAGGAAACATAGATATTATTGCTATAACAGAGACCTGGCTCAATCTGAAAGATAGAGAGATGCCCTCTGAATGTCACATACAAGGCTATAAATTATTCCACACTGACAGGGTCAACAGGAAAGGTGGTGGAGTAGCGATGTATGTCAGAGACAATTTAAATTGTTGTGTTAGACAAGATATTAAATTAGAAGCGTCAGCCACTGAATCTGTTTGGTTACAGCTTCTCGAGGGCCTAGAAAAACTAATTTTGGGTGTGATTTACAGGGCCCCAAATCTTGATAGGGAGTGCAGTAAACTTCTATGGGACGAAATTCGTAA